TAGAACTAAAAGTACATTTGCTGACAAAACTGGGAAATAGGAGAAGTCTTCCTTCACAGCAAGGAAGAAGCTTTCATGTACTAAGTACAATATACATAATTTCTGCCTAATACAAAAGGGTAACTATCCTTTTTAAACTCAAAATCGTTGCCTTGGAGTCAATTCTATTTCTTAGTAACCCTGTCAATCCTGTGTCAGCCTCTCAATTTTTGTTAGGCTGAGTCCATTGTTGTAGTCACTGGGTCAATCTATCACATTTAGAACCTTCCTCTCTTTTTGACATCCTGCTTCTCCAAGCATGATGTCCTCTTTCAAAGACTGTTGCATCTTTGACAACATACTGGAAGCATAGGAGGAGGGAAGGTTTCACTCTCCTTGCCCCTAAAAGGCAACCTTGTTACACCTCTTTCAAGGCATGGTATTTTCAATTCTCTTAGCCAACACCAAAAGCATCAATTTCTGTTTGGTCTTTCTTATACGTCGTCTAATTTTCATTTGCATACAAAGCAATTGAAAAATACCATGACTTGAGTCATACACACTTTAGTCTCTTCAGACATCCTTGCTCTTCAGTGCTTTGCCAACGTGCCTGACCATTGATTTGCTCAATGCAACATGCATTTTTATTTCTTGATTGCTGCTGATCTGGATGTTGATTGTGGATTCAAGTAACATGACGCCATTGACAATTTCAATCATTTCTCTGTGTAATCTACCACTGGGCCAATTGGCAGCATCAGGATGGATGGTGAGGAGATTGAGACTGTTAACAGCTTTAGTTTGCTTGGCTCTGCAGTCAACACTCTTAGTACCAACAGACAGGAAATTAAAAGATGTATTGCAATGCGAAAGTCTGCTTTTAGGGACCTCTCCAAATTACTGAAGAGCAATGGTGTCACTCTGGAGATTAAGGTGCATCTGATACAGGCCATGGTCTTTGAAATCACTTGCTGTGTGTTAGAGAGTTGAATGACTACAGAGGATAGAAGGAGAATTGATGCCTTTGAGCTGTGGTGTTGGAGATGGGTAATGAGTATACCATGGACTGCTAAGAAAACAAACAGGCTTATCCTAGAGAAGGTTAAACCAGGCTGCTCCTTGGAGATAAAGATGCTGAAGCATCATCTGATGTACTTTGGATATATTGCAAGGAGGGACCAGTCCTTGGAGAAGGACATCATGCTTGGGAGGGTGGAGGGACAGTGTAGGAGAGGAAGACCCTCTGTGAGGTGGATTGATTCCGTGACTGGGGTGATGGGGGTGGTGTGTCAGAGACAGTGAGATTGACACAGGACAGAGCATGGTTTGGGGCTGTTGTCAATAGGTCACTTTGAGTCAAAAGCAACCCAACAGTATATAACAATAACAACAACAATCTATGTAAATAAAAAGTTCTGTCAGTTTATTTGTCTGTATAAATCTAAATTTCTACATAAAATTCACGGTAGATTTATACCTATATAACTTTAAAATTCTGTAAACAACAACAACTAAAAACTTTCGTTGTTGTTAATATTGACTTATATTGACCCTCTGCTAGGGTTTCAGAGGCTGTAACCTGTTACAGGAGGAGATTTCCCATTTTTCTCCCACAGAGCAACTCATGGATTTAAACTGCCAACCTTTCAGTTAACAGTGCAACACATTATATCCTTTGACACTATCACTCCTTAAATCCCAAAAGTGAAGTCAAGAAAATAATACCTAATCATATATTCCTTTCAAACAGTTCTCACCCTCATCTGTTTCAATACAGCCCAGAATGAGAGCTTCATGGGGGAATGGACTGGCATGGAAGGGAGGGGGGTAATTGTATAATAATGAAAGGGTGCTTTTTTTCCTTTTCACTTTTCAAAGAGAAAAACCAAATGGGGGAGTGGAGAGGGAGGAAAATGTACAACAATGAATGAATGGAAGTCCAAAATCTCTATAAACTTTCATTAAAATTTCAATTAAAAAAAGAAAAGAAAAAAGTCGATACAAACCCCATAATGTCCAAGAGACTAAAGTTCACTTAGAGAAGCATTGTGAATCACACAGTCAGCTAACATGTATTGATCTGTTTTCTTTTTCTTTACTTGTTTACACACACATACACATGCACACGTGAATGCGTGTTTATATGAAGGCACTTCTTCTTTGAACTTACTGAACAAATTTGAACATTTTGCTTATTTCTCTTTATCTAGGCCTAGAAAGACAAACTGGATTCAGAAATAAATCTAAAATACGTAGAACCATATTGTGCATAGTTTGACCTGTAGTATTGGAAATTGCTGATGTTTTATAACTTCTTCAGATCACTTGTTAATTATGCTAGTTACGACACATTGAGACAAAAGAAGTTAAGTGGCTCTTTAATTATGCACAACATTTTATCATCACGAAAACCACTGTCTTTTATGGTAAAATTACTGTGCAATAAATGAGTATTCTGCATTCATTATTTTCCAAGTTAACTACAGTTGAAAAGGCAGTTTTTGGAAACAATTAATGACCATGAAGCCACACTGTTAATGGCCTAAAATTCCTAAAAGTGGTTTGCCTTCCATCCCTTCCCCCCTTATTTGCTATGTTAAACTGGAAAAAGAAAGAGAAGTAAGCTTTCCTTCCTTATCTACTTTCTCTCATCTTCTCTACCTTCTTCCGATGCCACCCAGTCCGTTATTGTTTCCTTGAATTTATGTCCACTCTGTAAATAAAGCTCTAATCCAAGAATGCCATCCTGAACTGAGCTTAATGCTAAGGTGTCCACACTTCTCCCTGTGACTTCCACAACATGTGCAGAAGATGCATAAACAAGAATTCTTTTCCTTTTGAGTTAATTTTGCTTATTGAGTTGCTCAATTTCATGGTAACTGTGGAAGGCGGACTATAAACATTTTAACAAGAACTATCTGGGTTCTGTTATCTTAAAGCAGAGTGCTAATAAAAACCATGCCACTGCTTTGGGCCCTAAAAAAAGCCTATAGACTTTTTTTTCTCACCCTGGGGCCATGAATACAAAGTGGATCCTACATCCAAAATAGCTCTTCACAGGTAACAACAGTGACTGTTAGAAACAAAGAGAGAGGCAAAATGAATTAATCAAACACCAACCAAAAAATAGCTCCTCACGTCCAGGAGTTGATTGCAACTCAGAGCAACCCTTTCTGTAGGACAAAGTGAAATGAACATAGATTCTGTGAGGCTATAAATTTTTGTGGAGGAATATTGAAACATTTTTTCTTCTGTGGATTTGCACCTCTTAATTTGTAAACTAGTACTGTCAAAAATATAGCATATTCTTATTGTCAGAAGTTTCAGGAAACAGATCCTTTCTTATCTCTGCTTGGGGTTAAACGTATGTTGAGATATTACTCTTGTTTGAGACGAGACTGTTTCCAATTGGATGCTAGGAATTAAAGCCTACTATTCAATTCTGAAGGAAGTAGCATTGTGACTGAGAGAAAAACAAATATCACACATTCTTTTGTGGGCACAAACCTGATAACTAGAGGTCTCAAGGTCAGGATTTAGAGGGTAGCATCTTGTGCACCTCCTGTCTGTCTGTCTTTCTCTCATTGCCATCAAGTCAGAACCAACCCAGAGTTGACCCACTGTTGGATTTCTCTGATTGTAAATTAAACAAGACTAGTTGCTGAGGGTCAGGGACTGCAGCCTTCGATAGGGATTGAGGCTCAGTGTCAAGAAGACAAAGATTCTCACCACTGGACCAATTGGCAGCATCATGATGGATGGTGAAGAGATTGAGATTGTTGACAGCTTTAGTTTGCTTGGCTCCACAGTCAACACTCTTGGCACCAGCAGCCAGGAAATTAAAAGACATATTGCCATGGGAAAGTCTGCTGTTAGGGACCTCTCTAAAGTACTCAAGAGCAACGGTGTCTCTCTGGAGACTAAGGTGCGTCTGATAAAGGCCATGGTCTTTGCAATCACTTGTTCTGCATCAGAGAGCTGGACAATGACCAAGGAGGGTAGAAGGACAATTGATGCTTTTGAGCTTTGGTGTTGGAGAAGAGTGCTGAAGGTGCTATGGACTGCTAAGAGAACAAACAGATTCATCCTGGAGAGGGTTAAATCTGGCTGCTACTTGGAGGCAAGGATTCTGAGGCTTTGTCTGGCATATTTTGGTCATGTTGTAAGGAGAGAGTGGTCCTTAGAGAGGGACATCAGGCTTGGGAGGGTGGAGGGCAGGCGCAGGAGGGGAAGGCCCTCTGGGAGATGGATTGATTCAGTGACTGGGGCAATCAGGGTGTGTGTGTCGGAGGTAATGAGATCGGCACAGGACAGAGCAGAGTTTAGAGCTGTTGTACATAGGGTTGCTATGAGTTGCAAGCGACTCGACGGCACATAACAACGAACAACAGATTATTCATCTTTCTACTAAAGAGCACCTAGTGGATTCCAGCCGCTGGAAAAGGGCAGCCATTGGGTTAGCAGGGCTAACAGCCAACATGACCTCTCTGTATGTATCGTTATAGCATCAAGTAGAAGCTGACTTATAGCTGACCCTTCAGTGAGTTTTCAGAGGCCATAAATCACATGGGAGGAGATTAGTCATCTTTCTTACATGGAGCAGGTGGAATATGCAAAGTGATTTTTCGATTACCTCTAATCTACCACAGCTGCATCTACTAGGGGTCTTTGAATATAAAGATTTATTTATTTAGTAAACTCTAAAAATGTACATCCTTATATACAAAATGATCCAATATTTTCTCTTTAGGTCCCAACTAAATAACCTAATTCACAGCTATATTTGAAAAGTTAATTTTTGGAATATTAATTATATCTGGACTCAATATTGGTCAGGTACAAAGAAAAAATAGGTTTATGTTGCTAATAATTTAAACCTATGTCATTGTACTGAATTCTCACTTTTTTATCTACTAGATCTTAAAACTTAATGGAACAAAGTGTATTTGTTGAACTCTTCAAATAAGCAGGTATTATGATCTGAAATGATCTGTTTCTTGCTCTTCTGTTTTGTATCTTAGGAATCATCTCAGCTGTCTGGACTCCCTGAGTATGTTAAAATAGTAGAAGTTGGACCAAGAGATGGATTACAGAATGAAAAGGTAGTTTGATAATAATATTCATTTATTCCAAATTTGAAGTCTAACTTAAAATTTCTTAGGCTTTTAAAGATTTACATGGATGTCATATGTGGCATAATTTTGTGGGTTTACACTGATACTTGGACTTACAAATCATCAAATAGGCTTTTGTTTTCAGTTAGGAAGCAATATTCTGTTGACTGTATATAATTTACTTACCAAATTGCTCTTTTATGTTGTCATAGGTTATAGTTCCTACAGATATAAAGATTGAATTTATCAATCGTCTTTCCCAAACTGGCTTGTCTGTAATAGAAGTGACCAGCTTTGTGTCCTCACGATGGGTACCACAGGTATGTAAATCAATAATTAATTAATTATGTCCTCAATTCAACTTCGACAAGAGTAAATTTTTAAACAGTATGAAAACAGGCAGTCTTTCCCCAGGTAGTTAACTGCCTCTGAAAACACACTGGAGGGTCAGCTATGAGTCACTTCTGACTCGAAGGCACACATCACCACCAGCAATTCAGCAGGGTGCTCTGCTGGTTTCTTCTTGTTGTTGTTGTGTGCCTTTGAGTTGGAACCAACCTGTAGCTGATTCTTTAGCCAGTTTTCAGAGACAGTTAATCACATGAGAAGACAGTGCCCATCTTTCTGCCACAGACCAGCTAGTGGATTTGAACTGTATGCCTTCGAGACTGCAGTGTAACTTTATACCACTAGGCTACCAGAGTGCCTGCACTGCCAATCCACAGGTGGTTGTTATCCACCACCTGCTCCATCAGAGAAAGAGGCATAATCTTCTTTCAGTGTAATTTATTCAAAACTTGCTGGAGGGTCAACTATGAGCTAACTCGATGACGCTCAATGACAACAATAACAATGAAATATATTTAGACATTACATTGATATAATTGCACATTTTATGGGTTCATGGTCTTAAAAAAATTAGTACATGCTGGTCTGGATTTTAAAAAAAAGCATTTGATGAACTATTTTAAGTCCTAAAATATTATTTGAAATTCTATACCAAAGCTATACAAGCATCTGATGTAATATAAGAAAAGGATGAGAAGAATTTAGTGACCAGTCTCCCATTTACTTATTACTGACTTTATAAATGATCCTAAGGGAGCTCTGGTTGTCTCGTGGTAAAGAACTGTGCTACCTGTCTGAAGTCTTGTAGTTTGAATTCACCAGCTGCTCTGTGGGAGAAAGACGGGCAGTCTCCTGCCAAGATATATACTGTCTCTGAAAACCTGCTAGAGGGTCAGCTATGAATTAGTTCCCACTTGAGGGTACACAGCGACAATAATATCTTTAGAGAGTTCTAGTGGTTTAGACTGTAGGAAATTCCACTGTTAACCCTAAAACCACATCTATCTTTTGGTTCAAAGTTCCAGATACTTTTTTTGGAAGATGGACAGTATCTTCCTCTGTGATTTTATACGTACATGTATACACATACACACACATACAAACACACACATATATGTATATCTATATCTATCTATCTCTATCTCTATATCATCATCTATCTCTATCTATATCTCTCTATCTCTATCTTTTTCTATCTCTCTATCTCTATCTCTATCTCTGTCTCTGTCTCTGTCTCTCTGTCTCTCTCTCTATCTCTATCTACATCTACATCTACACCTACACCTACACCTACATCTACATCTATATCTATATCTATATTTATATCTATATCTATTTCTATATATAATCTATAGCTATATATAATCTATATCATATATCTAGATCTAGATCATCTCTATCTCTCTCTCTATATATATATCTCTATCTCTAGCTCATCTATATCTATATCTATCTATATCTATCTCTATATCTATCTATCTCTATCTCTATCTATCTATATATCTCTATCTCTATCTATATATATCTGTCTCTATTTCTTTCTCTATCTGTATCATCTATATCTACCTATCTCAAAAAGGACCATTTAGAATTTTTTCCCTTGGAAAATTATGGTGTCACAGCTAGATCTGTAGTTGGCAGGTAGACAGAAGCACTCATCACTTCTTTACAGGTCTTGACTCTGGTGTTCAAAACATGATGAAGAGTTAGTTATCTGTTACAAAACTCTCTCCTTTTCCTGTTTTCAGTACTGAGCACTCTCACTCTTTCCTGATCATTTTACTACACTGATTACTCTCCTACTATAATCTCATTTTTGTTGTCTCCTGTCAAGTTGTAGCTGACTTTTAGTTGATCCTCTGGTAGTTTTTTAGAGGCAGTGAATCACACAGGAGTAGAGTGTTCATCTCTCTCCCATGGAGCAGCTGGTGAGTTTGAACCCTGTGCCTTTGTTTTGGCAGCACAATGTCTTACCACAAAGCCATTAGCCTGTCTACTATACTCTTCTGTGTTTTTGACTGCCCAGTTGTCTTTTCCTCCTGTTATTTCTGATATTTCTGTTTTTCAGCCATCATTAAGTTTAAATTTATTAACTTCTACCTTCAGTACTTTTCTTTGCCTGTGCCTTTACTTTGGCATTCCTTCTGACTTCAGCAGCTACTACCATGAGGAGGGCTAATCTTTATGTGTAGCTCATAAGCTTCAGTTGAATGTGCCATCAATAACTCATACTCAGTTGTTTCAAAATTAAACCTGCCCAGCCTACTTTATGCTAGCAGCTCCAGTGTTTCCACTGGATCTGTAATCCACAAAGAATTTTTGCAAAAAAAAAAAAAATCCCACAACACAACAAAGATTTTTTGCATTGAATTTATAAATCTAGGATTTATAATCTGCAAAAGATTATTTTCTGTATTTATTCATTATCTGCCTAATAAAAATAAAATTTATAAATAAATGAATAAGAAGTAATAGGTTAATAAAATTCACTTTTCCCCTCAATACTACTATACCTACTACTTCTTTATAATTCCCACTGAGGCTTTGATAAGGCAGCATTAAGGAGTAACAATTTCATAAAATGCTATATAACATGGTAAAATATAAACAGCCTTATGCTGAGTGAACTCACTCAGTCTCAAGAGGGTAAATACTGCGTATGACCATTATTGTAAGGATATTATAAATATCATTACTAAGATGTATGTAAAAGTCCAAAAAGGAAGGGGAGGGGAGCAGGGCAGCAAGGGAGCTAGGTGGGGGAAGGAAAAATCACTAGAGTGACAGAGTTTTGTGGGTGGAGGGAGTGGATAAAGCAATTAGGAATGAACATGGGGCGACCTGAAAAGACAGGGTAATAATAGGCATAGATCAATGGTGATTAATTTTATAAAACACAGTACATGGAAATGACCGTGTGAAACAATGTGAATGAAGGAATGTGTGAAACACACCTATATAAACAAAACAATGTATATGGATGTTGTATGCAAACTAATATAAAATAAATGTTTTAAATAACCAAAACAACATATACGATGATAAGCAGTGATAACTGAGATGAAGGAAAATCACAGTTTATTTTGAGTATGAATAAAAAGAACCCTGATATTTGAACATTTGTTGTTATGTGCCATTGGGTCGCCTGTGACTCGTAGCGACCTTATGCATAACAACCCTAAACCCTGTTCTATCCTGTGCCAATCTCACTGTCTCTGACACACCTACCCCTATTACTCCAGTCACTAAATCAATCCACCTCATAGAGGGTCTTCTTCTCCTGCACTGTCCCTCCCCCTTCCCAAGCATGACATCCCTCTCCAAGGATTAGTCCCTCTTTGCAACATGTCCAAAGTATGTCGGATGAAGCTTCAGAATCCTTACATCTGATAGTTCTATTTTTTCAGCCATCATTAAATTTAGATAGATTAACTTCTACCTTCAGTACTTTTCTTTGCCTGTGCCTTTACTTTGGAGCAGCCTGGTTTACCCCTCTCTAGGATGAATCTGTTTGTTTCTTAACTCTGTGAAAAATGATGTATTACCGCTACTATGGGTCCTGCATGTCTTCAAATGTCTTGCAATGAAAATTATTTTAATATTTTAAGCTATTTTACATCAGTTTGTTATAACTTCAAAGAAACACAAAAATTGAAATGCACGTAAGTATGACAAGATAAAGAGCTATGGAGAAGTCAGAACAGGGAAACATGGAATAAGAAGCTGTTTGGTTAGTATGGAACATCAATGAGTGAAATCTGGAAATGAAGTTAAGGTTAAATAGAGGGCTTTGCACACAAGGTCAAAGAAGGGAACCTCTCAAAAATACAATGTAAGTTTGAGAAGGCTGACTCTTCTAGAAGACATTTTAGACAAAATGGTTAAAACGTACAGTGATGGGAAAATCTGTGCTTAACTACCACTTCAGGTACTAATCTATTCACCCTAGAAGTAAGACAGATTTCCTTTGTAGAATTATGGAGACAGACTTCATACAGGACATTTGACACAGGACAGATGAGATTGAAGCCAGTTTAAGTCACATATACTTACTTACTGTCAAGGAAAGAGAATACTTTTCTTTCCATGAAACATACTTTGTAGTACCAAGAGAGTGAAGTGCCACTGGTTACCAACAAGATGATGTGATTGGTGTTTGAATACATTGTGGATTGGCAGGAAACTGAAATTTGCTACGCAGGAGTAAGAAGGAAGTGTACAGGGTCCCTTGACACAAGGGAGTTGTTTATGCAAGAAACCTTTAATGACAGCACAGTGGGGATCGGAAGTTGAATGTAAATGATTAAAGTCCCTCCTGGTTTTGCAAGCTGTCAAGGTAGCATCATGATTTTAGGCTCTGTGTAATTGTTGATCGTTAGTATGTTCAATTGTTTGAATGTATTATATTTTTTCAGTTCATTTGTTGATGGACATTTGTGTTCTTTGCATTTTAATGGTATAAATAACACTGCTGTGAACAAAGGTGTGTGGATCTTGGTTTGTGTCTCAGTTCTGTTTTCCTCAGGGTGTATTTCGAACAATCTGGGTCATATGGGATTTCTCTGTTCAGCTTTTTGAGGAAATGCTAAACTGCCTTCCAGAGTGGTTTATGTTTTTGAAGACATTTTCCAGTTATCTGCTTCCTATTTTACAACTTTTATGAAGGTAGGGACTGTGCTTTCTTGTACATTTTAGCATCAGTGCTTTTTGTGTGGTGATGTTATGTACCATCAAGTTGAAACCTACTTATGGCTGACCCTAGAGTAGGTTTTAAAAGGATGTATATCTCATGGATGATTACCCATCTTTCTCTCACATAGTGTCTGTGGATTCAAACCACATGCCTTTGGGTTAGTAAAGAAACTCCTTACCACTAGGCCATGATAGCTTTCTACAGGTTTTGTGCATTGTAGAAAATAAATACTTGTGAATTTAATAACTACAAGCCTGAGAAGACATACAGCGTGTACTG